TGTGAGAGAGAAAGAGAGAGAGAAAGTATCCCCCAATGGGGAATGGTCATGACAATTCCTTCTCCTCCATTCCTCCATCCCATTAGGGTTTGGGGCCCACATGCACAGGCATCAGGTGTGTTTTTCAAGCCACCAGGGCTGGAGTTTGAACTGGTGTTGGTTACGTGGGATTAGGCTCTTTCAACCACTAGGCTATGGAGCAGTCCTCTCTTTTCTTTTTTTAGTTTGCTATAGGGTGTGTGCATTCATCAGAGACAGAGTGAGAGGGAGAGAAAGTGAGAAATCACCCCTGGGGGGTGGGGGGGTGGCCCCAGGGCTGGAGTTTGAACTGGTGTTGGTTACGTGGGATTAGGCTCTTTCAACCACTAGGCTATGGAGCAGTCCTCTCTTTTCTTTTTTTAGTTTGCTATAGGGTGTGTGCATTCATCAGAGACAGAGTGAGAGGGAGAGAAAGTGAGAAATCACCCCTGGGGGGTGGGGGGGTGGCCATGCCACAGTCCCTGCTCCATTCTCCTCTAGAAGCCTGCTATGATTTTCAACGTGCAGGGACTCAAGCCATGCAGTTGGCCACGTGGGATCCAGCACCTTAACTTCGGCACCTCCTTTTTCTTTTTAATACACTTGTCTTTTCCTTACCTCCTTGAATTCTTTCTCTCTCTCTCTCTTTTTTTTTTTTTTGGAGAGGTTTTTGCTATAGGGTGCGTGCACTCACCAGACAGAGACAGACAGAGAGACAGAAAGCGAGAAATCACCCCTCATGGGGGATGGCTACGCCGCAATCCCTTCTCCTCCATTCTCCTCTCGGGATCTTGGGCAGGCACGCACACGCACCTGGCGTGAGTTTTAAGCCACCGGGTCCGGGACGCGAACCGTGGTCGACTACATGGGAGTCCAGCGGCATAGCCATTATGCTAACTGCTGGTCCCTTACCTCCTTGAATTCGACGGTAATTTATTGCAGCCAGTGTATTCTCCATTGTCATATCCATTCCTGAATAAACATCATGGGGAGGGGCTTACTCTCTTGCCTATAATCTAGAGGTTGATTAGGAAGATTATTGAAGATATGAATGAAAGAGAGCAACTATAGGTGTAGAGAACGTCTGGGTTTCATCAGTGAATCTCGTGATGTTTGGGTCTAAACCTTGGTGCTGTTCGGAAAAACCATACTAACGAAATTCAATAAGGGTCTTCATTTCACCAAAATTACAAACAACATCTGTGGACGGGTGATCTTCTCAAGACCCTGTTTTGTACTGAGAAAAGAATGAGGATTTGGGCCATTCGTCCAGCAGGTAGCAGGTGTCAGGCCGTCTACACATATTAGCTCTTATCAGACTTGGAATGGCTCCTGCAAGGTAGATGCTGTCCCCTGTAGGAGATGAAGTTACGCCAGGCTGCCCGCTTGGATGTGCCTATAAGCTCAGGTCTACTCAGGTCTTCCCAGGTCAGGAAGGTACGAAGAAGCCCCACGGACGGAGGGGACCAAGGCGCCTAGGCAGGTGCGAACCGGCTCTAGGCGCCAGGCCGCCGGCCGGGAGCGCGATCGGTTGGGCCTGCGGGATGGAGCGGCAGGTGCAGGCCCGGGCGCGCGGGCGGGCCCTCCTGCGGGCAGGCG